TTTTAAATGAGACGGAATAAATAGATGCTAGACTAGCTAGACTAGCTTAGGGCTACCTTTTACCTAATACGTTTTTTATTTTTTATTTTTTTACAGTTTTTACCTAAATTAATTTGCCAAAAATGATAAAATATATTAAAAAAATGTTTTTACAGATATATAATTCCGCAGTTTGGATCTGCCAGCTTAAAGAAGAAAAATGTATAAAGACAATAGAGAAATGGAGTCTAGTTGCAAGATGACGTGTGAGCAGAGAGGCTGAAAATGTGTCAGACGAAAGTCCCTTTGTCACCATTCTCCCTGGCTTTACTGCTTTTCAGGTTTTATTGAAAATATTATTTTTTTGTTTGAATTAAATTAAATTTTTTTGTTACAGCTCCCAGAGTGGGACCTTTATTTATATGCTGCACAGCCACTCTACAACACATACCTTGCAACATTAAAACCTAATTTTGCAACTATGTTAATTAGGAGCTTATTTATTATTACAACAAAAAAGTGTAATTTGTCCCAATATATAGTTGCAGAGTACGGCAGATGAGTTTCACTTGTTGAAAAGCTGTTTAGGGTACACAAGTAAAAGTAAAAGATTATTACAAGAGTGAAACAAACAATCTTGGTATATCAAAAAATGTCTGTAACATCTTTTTCTTATGAAAGATATAATTTTCCTGAAGTACTGTTTCACATAGGTATGTAATTAGCAAGGACAAATGATCACCTTTATGTTTCAAATTCAAACTAAACATCTTGGTATTTCTGAATACATGCTTTCATTTTTTTTATTATTTTTTATTTTGCTTGATTGTGCCTGCGTTTTTTAAAAAGCAGAAGCCCTGGCTGGAGTAAGCTCGCTCCGGTCAGCTCAGAGTTCCCAGTTCTCCCTCAAGACGGTGCACCATGCATGATCAGGCTGGCCCACTTGTCCTGGTCTGTCTTCCACTTTTTCTTCATCCCTCTCCACCTCCTGGCACGTTTCCATGGAAACAACAGGGGAAAAAAAGAGAGGAGGGTAAGAGAGACAGGCGAAAGACAGAAAGAAATCCCAAAGAATGTGTTTTGCAGTCTGACTCCTGCTGAGTGTTTTATGTTGCTGTAGTAGTTAAGTCTTTATTTTTACACAGAGAGGGTGAAATATGGGGGTTATGATCCCTATGCTCTGTTTTCATAATCTCCCATTAATACAGTTAATTACTGCTTGTCAACTTCTTTGCCTTGCCGGGGAAAAAGGATATGAGACAGACTGCTCTAGCTTGATCATTTACTAAGATAAACTTTGTATATTAACTCTGTCTAATTAAGCTTCAGGGAATTGTAAGACAGGACTCCAGGGACTACCAGAATGCTACTCAGATTTACAACTTAAAATATGTACACAACGTTTTTGCTTGAGGTTACTTTCTGGTGGGTTACTGGTTCTGGTAGAACCACAAAATGCTTGTTTAACTGGGAGCATATTCTAAAATCAAGCTTCTGCCGTGTTACAACTCAGTCACATGGAATTCTCCCATGGCATTTCAATACATATAGATAATTGGAAATGTTTTCTCATCATCAGCAGAAAGACTTTCATTATGCATGACTGCCATACACAACTCTGGCTATTCATAGCTGTTGTTTACCTGTAGCCTTCATCATATGACATCTTGGTCTCAATCATAAATAGAATTTACAGCTTAAACACTCTTAGATGCAAGAATGTGCTTTTTACATTTGACAGATTTTCCGAATAAGAGAAACTGGGGAGCATATAATTGAAATAGACAATGTGCAACACATATTGGCCACTCTTGACAAAATCTTTAAGATGAAAAACAACTGAAACATAGTAAGTCATGGTCTAAGCCCAACTTTTCCTCCCTTTACTCTATCACTGCACTGCAATAGGATTTTTCATGTTTATTTTTTTTCTTGTGTCTTGATCATGTACAGAATTTTTTATTGTCTGTTGCCGAAAAACGCTATAAAGTAAAGTTACCCTGCCTAAATTTCTTCACAACAATAAAACTAAACAATTAGAAGAAACTGCTTCTGTGTACAATCCTATTTTACCAATAGGACAACACTTTCCCCCCCTTTTTATAAGATGTTACAAGCCAGGAGCACACACAGAAAAAAAGTCTTGGAAAGATTTTGCCATGTTCTTTAGACCCAGAATTCTAGAGATTCTAAAACACTCAGTTGACATGTCACTGTTGTAAACTTTGCAACTTATGCTCTTACAGTATGTCAGATAAAGGCAAGTTTAAGTGACAACTTCAAATCTTGCCACCATTTTCTTATTAATAAAGACCTACACCACAGCGAAATTTGTATTTTAGGATCATTATCTAGATGTCTCTAGAGACTCCAGTTAACTGAAAAAGAAAGCGTTGTAAAGTAGAAATTCCTTAGTTAGATTTATTGATTAAGAATCTCTTGGGCTGGCATTACATGTGGGTCTGTTCGTTTTGTTATAAAAAGCATTTTTCTCTTAAATGGGATTGTGTTGTCCACTGAATGCTTGTACTATACTTAACGGAAGTCTATCTTAGTTCCATTCAGTAATTATTTATCTGAACCATAATTTAAGATTAGATGATACTAAAAAGAATTTAAATAAGTTTCTCAAATATTGCTTTGCAGTTCCTACTATATACATTATATAATATGGTACCAATATAGCTGCTTTTTATGCCTCATTTGTCCAAATTACAGTTGAAATTTTGAGATCAGAGGGTTACATTAAAACATAGTCAATATTGCTTTCCATACAGACCAATTTCACAATGTCTGCAAAGAGTCTTTTGTCATTAAAGAGCCATATATGGTTTATTGTGTCTTTTAGTAGCTTGGATGCAGAGATGTTGCACCTTTTTCTTCCTCTTCATCCAGTGCTGTGACCTTGCAGATCAAGGATGCACATTTGTTTTATTTTATAAAAGAAACAGCAGTACAATCAAACCCTAAAGAAGGATTTAATCATCCATTAAAAACCTTCAACAACTAAAGAAACACCATGTTAAACACATTTATGTTGGTTTATATTAAATGTCATTAGTTTCTGGGTTTTGCATGGAGTGCTGTTATTTGGTAGACAGTGAACAGTATATGTGATTTGACAAAAAGTTCCTCCAGGATATGTTTTGTTATCTTCACAGACTTTTGAAGCACAGGAATGTTTTCACATGTGATGACAAAAGAGTTGTAAAATCTTTTGCTGTGGAAGAAGACAAAATAAGGTAAAAGAGACAAAGAACAAAGCGATGAGGGGACAGCAATTAAAATATTCAAAAGTAATCTTAAAGGGTTCACAATTAGGGAAAAAAAAACCCATCCAGAGATTGTTTGATTTTTCTAACTATATACTTCGACCTAAAGCATCTGTTACTCCTGTTTACTGGAAAAATGTTGACATCTGGCATACAGTACACCTTTTAGATATTTCATTTACATTCAAGACACTTATATTAATACCTAAACCTTTACAGTTTTTGTGACATTTAAACCCTAAACTTCTTCTTCAAATTTCTTGAGATACTGTAAGTAGTGTATAATTTTGAAGTGGAAAGATTGTAGTAGTGTTACGTACTTTTTGGATTAGAATAACAGCTCTGATTCTTTTGTGGAATGTCTAAACTAGTTTTGTTCACATCCAAATTGAAATTTTGGCCCATTTTTCTTTACACTTTAGCTAAAGCTCAAGCGGACTATTTAAAAAAATTCAGGGAATCACTGGTTTTGGGTCTAGCCAAATATTTTGAAATATGGGCCTAAAAATTGACACTGTTTTTCTAAAATATGAATATCTTATAATATAAACCACTCTATTCTAACTGTGGCTCAGACATTAGCATAAAGATGAACCGATGAGCAGGAGATTGATTGATGGATCTGTGTGGCTGCTCCTATAATGAAAACGCTGTCTGTCATGTTGAAGAGATAGCTGGGTTGTTCTGCATTTCTACCCGTCACCTATGGTCATAAAATCTGAATCATGACAGAAAGAATGAGATCCCAGTTACAATTGTCTTAAATTAGCTTTGTCTGCAGGGTGAGGAGTTCAGTCATCCAGGAGAGGCTCAGAATAGAGCAGCTTCTCCTCCACATTGAAAGGAGTCAGCTGAAGTGGTTCGAACATCTTTTTCGGATGCGCCCTGGACTTCTCCCTCAGGAGTTTTTCCAGGCACGTCCCACCGGGAGGAGGCCAAGAGGATGACCCAGGAAATACTGGAAAGTCTATGTCTCTCGGCTGGCCTAGGAGCATCTTGGGCTTCCCCCAATAGAGCTAGAGGAGGTTCCGTGGGAGAGGGAAGTCTGGGAGTCTCTGCTGAGACTGCTGCCCTCACGACTCGGTCCCAAGATGAAGCAGAAGAAGACTAGGAGTACAACTTTATCACTGACCTGTGTCCTGTCTTGCTTTGGCTTCATTGGCCTTTTCAATCACTATTTGCTAATAGACCCCTTAGACTTTCATAGAACAGCTACTGTAGCTCTTTATTGAAATTACATCAAACACATCTGGACTTAGTTTATAATAGCTAATTTCTGATGGTAGATAGTAATGGATTCTATTTAAGGGTTTTTAGAGTAAAGAGGGCTAAAACATATAACAATACACTTAAATATTTTTGTTTGTAACAAAAAAAAGCAACACTATTGTACTGTCAATTCTTAATTATGTGCTGCATTTTATTAGTCATAAACATAAATGGATTATAATGTGCCAAAATATGAAACGCTTCAAGATGTTCATGGTGTTTTCAGTAATAAGGATTGCAGAAGTTTCTATTTAAAGTAGACAAATCAGTGACATGTGTTATTTACTCAACTAACTACTTTATTCCTCTTGTCAAATCAAGAACATTATTCACAAAAATATTTATTCACCCTTTGCAAATGTTGTAAATTGTTTTCACTGAAGGAGTCTGTCCCTGGCAGACACAGTGTCTGTGAGACAAAGGGATCATTGTACAACAGATCCAAAGCTCTGACTGAATTTCTCTCTGTTTGATCTACAGGCTGTAATCTACAAACGCTCAGAAGAAGAGACGGACTAAAGGGGATGGTGATGATGCTCTTCATGGCCTCTGCTAGAATAAAAACACCAGTGCTTTGAGATTTTTTGGTGCTACTGCGCCTTTGATATTTTTGTCTTTTTCTCCAGTAGCACCATCGTCAGCTCTGACCTGCCACTAAGCAGACTCCACAGGCAGGACTGTGTCATTGTTTTGTCCGGGGATATGTCATTGGGGAAATCCCCCATGTGGGGGGTGCGCCCCATGTCCCGACCCCTGTGGCTGTCCCATCTAAGCCTGCTCTGCTTGTGTGGATCCCTCTTTACTCAAGCTACACACAGTCTGCCTGTGGTGGCTTACAACACAGACTCTAAGAAAGAGATCACCCTGGATGGAGATCTGATGATCGGTGGCTTGTTTCCTGTGCATCAAAAGGGTGAGGGGGTAGAAGACTGTGGCAAGATTAATTCACAGAGAGGGATCCAGAGACTTGAGGCCATGCTTCTGGCCTTGGATGAAATCAACAGGGATGAGCGGATCCTTCCGGGGATCAGACTAGGAGCCCACATACTAGACACCTGCTCCAAGGACACATATGCTTTAGAGCAATCTCTGGAGTTTGTCAGAGCCTCCCTGACTAAAGTGGATGACAGCGAGTACACATGCCCTGACGGTTCCTATGCTATTCACGATGATGTCCCTCTTGCTATCTCTGGCGTCATAGGAGGCTCATACAGTGATGTCTCTATCCAGGTAGGCATCCATTATTTATATTTTGTTTTACTTCATATAGATGCAAGACTACTTTGAGGTATGCCATTAAAAAGTCTACCAGACTAACAACTACTTTATGATGGAGAGAAAAGAAGATTCAGGCATGTACATAATAACTGTCCACTTATATGATGTCCACTTAAATACCACTCACAATTACCCTTTGCAAGATGTTAACCTGGGACTTATGACTTTTAGCTCCACAAGAGAATCTGTTTACCTGCACACATATGTACCTGGCTAATCTAATTTAAAGGATCTCATTCTCTTCTTCTGTAATTTGCACTTGGTCCTATCAGAGGTAGAGGTGCTACCATGATGTTGCAATCGGTAATGTCTGACAGGATGCCTAGTGACAGCTCGATTACTCTCAGCTCCTTTTTGCTCACTCTGGCTGATACAAGGAAATCTCTGCTAATTGGTTCTCTAAATCCTTGGCTGCAGTGTTGCTTCCACATTAATGAAGTTCCAAGTCATTGTGAAGAGGAGACAGCATGTCCCTTGGAACCTAGATTTGTAAATATGCACAAATATGTAAACTCTACATCATTAAGGCAGAGTCATCCTGACTCAACTAGCCAGAGGACAGAGTCTTCTACAGTCATTTCTAAAGTATGGTTCATCTCACTTCAGCTGCGGCAGCCTCCTGTTCCAGATATATGCTCTTTTAAAGAAAGCAACAAATTTGTGTCCTTCTAGAAATATTGGCTCACTTATCGACTATAGATTGTGAATGGTCTGGGGATTCACTTATGCTGAGAGGCTTCTAGGAATTTTTTTTTTGTCTCAGTCCTGTTTCATTCTAACTGGATGATTAAAACTGAATGTTGCAACAGAAAGTCAAATTGGTCATTGTTTTGCTAAGCTTCTGTAAAGTGTACCCTCACTCTCCTAGCTCTTATTAGATAGCAGAGGGACCAGGTGTGATCTTCTGCTGCCGTAGCCCATCTGCTTCTGCATTGCACATGTTGCACATTCAGAATGGCTTTGTTGTAACGTGAAAACTCGAAGCAGACTGCACATTCTCTTTTGACTTCTGAGATTAATAGAGCCAACTACTGCTTACTACTGCATATTTCCCAGGACATGTTTTGTAGGCCAAAGAGATGGTTGCATGTAAAAATTACAGGATACCAGAAAGTTTTAGATATATATGACAACTAGGACTGGCAACAACAACAATTTAAAGGTAAATGCATATAAATACCTACATGTATTGCTTTCTCACAGTAATAAATAGCTGAACTGGTATAACTAAAGTGCCTGGTGAGTGCAAACTCACAGGCACACACACAAACATTGCGTTTCTGTGTTTTATGGAGTATTTTCATTGACTTCCATTAATTTGTATGGCCTCATCCAGACGCTGACCCAAACCATTATCTACATATACATAACCATAACCCTAACCTGAATTGATTTCACACCTTGGACCTAAACCTAACTCAAAACCGAAGAAGAGGACTTATCCTCATGGGGACCATATGAGTGGTCCCCACAATGTAGCATATTCCAGTAGGAAAATGGCCTTACACTGCCCCCCAACAGAACAAATACAAGTCCACATCCATTAAATAAACAACACCCACACAGCAAAAAACCCTCATCCACAAACACCATCTTGACTTCATTGGCAGGTTCTCGCCATTTTGAATAAAATAATTGATTCTATGTATACCTCAGGGAAACAGGACTTGACTTAATGAATTAATAATTGATGATACAACCCAATGATCACATGAAAACAAAGACTAGTTTACACTAAAAAGCATTACTTTAATATATCACTCAAATTTTTAAACTTTAATATTTCACTCAAAAAAAGTGAATCACGGGCATAAAAAGTGTGTTTAAAAAAAAATGTAATGTTTCATAGAAAAAACTCAGCAAACCCCTTTTATGAGTTAACACAGAAATTAAATACTAACCTTAAATGGACTCCTGCTCTACTTCACTTTTTAGAGTCATTATAATATGAGATTTTACTTTGTTTTCAACGGTGAAAACAAATCAGGAACAGATAAGGTTAAAGAAAATAAAACTTTAAGAATGTGAATGACACCCATTCAGCACAAATAGCCTTCCATTTGCCCACAATTATAAATAGATTTGAAATCAAGGCTGTGACTTGATTTAATATCTCTCACAGCCTGAAGTTTAAGTTATGCTTCAGTGACAAGAGATGCCTATTAAGAGTCAATTAGTTACAGAATATATTGATTTTTATTCTAAATTTTCTCCAATGACACCAGAGCTATGTAAACATGACCATATATTGTAATACCAATAAGCCACAATGACTAACATATGAAATAATGTGTAGGCATGAACTGTACTGTTAGAGAGCTTTAGGAGAAATGATGTAAATGGAGCTTAGAGCTCAGAGCAAGGAAAAGGAAGAGGTCAAATCTGAAAACACTTGATTGTGGGCACAATTTTTCAAAACAAGGAAAAAAGTGTTTCACAAGTTAAATATACACTAACTACTTTAAATATTTGTTTTACTGATTTTCATAGGAAACAACAAAAAAAGAATGAATGCTATTGGGGTTGCAAATATGTTCTCTCTAAAATAAGAAACAACGGGTTTTTTTTAATCTCACATCAGTAAATACTTTATAAACAGAATTTACTCTGTTACCTAAATATGAGAAAACTCTGCCAGCTTTTATTGTAATTGTGACAAAATAGCATGACAGTAGAGTACAGTCATGAGTGTACAGATAGAGGGCTCCCAGGGAAGTGATGTAAGAGGAGGATTCACAGAAGCAGTGGAAGGATTCCTGGTAAAAGGCACAGCTTGGAAATAAAGAAGTTGATAAACGAGATGTAATTTTAGCAAAACCCTGCATCTGGGACTCCGTAGAGACTGCCCTTGTCTTGTTGTAATTTATGGATGTGCTATTAAGAGGCCCAAGGTCCATACGAGCTTCTCTTTGTATTTCCACCATCAGTCGGAGTAAACCACAGGACGCAGCTTTCTTTCTCACCAGGAATAACTCTCTGTGCTATGATAAAGTTCACTCATGGGGTGCTGCAGCTCTTACTCTTTATCTTGGCCGGCTGATGAGCATTTAATCATGGCAGTAAATGTGCTCACACCAAATGACCTGTGACCACATAATCTTTTTGCACATTCGTACGGTTTCAAAGATTTGCTGCGTAAGTTGTGCCCTTTGAAAATAAGATGAGATGTATCTAGTTAGACATTTTATTGCCCAGTTGATGATATTATTACACAAAGATATGTATTTGGGGCAAATGAATGTGTGGCATTTCTGGGCTGCTGCTGGATACGACTCGCATAATCTTTTTCTCCTTTCTAACTGCCTACTTTGTGCATAATCTATAGCCTGTCAGACCTTTTGGTGAACTGGCCCCACTGTGTGAAAGGTTACAAAGTCTGCCCCTCGGTGACAACAGCAGGTGGTTAATACAGATGGGTATATTTCACCCCAAAGGGAAGGCAGTTACAGGAAACGTAACTTTATTAGCTTATAAAGCCCCCTACCATCCAGGCAACCTGGAGCATGGAGACAGAACATGGCAATCTGGCAGGTGTTGAGAACGCAGAGTGCCATCTAAATCTGTCACAATGTCGAATTGTGTTGCTGGTGTTGTGAGGTGACAATCACATATATGAGGGTGGATCTGGCTCCAGGCCCAGCCCTGCTGTCATTATACGAGCACAGATTGAGTTAAAGCATGGAGGCGAAGTTCTGTGATACTCTCGCAGGCTAGGCCTCATCTTCCCCATCTGTGGCTGCAGCCGGGCTGTCTGGTGGCTTGGCAGAGGTGTGCAGGCAAACACAGAGGATGCCTAGCGATCGCACCAACAGATCATGTTTCACAGAAACACTGAGACACTGAGGGGCAGACGTAAGCGGCAAAGGAGAGGGAGATGGAGTGAGTCACATGGCTTCATATGGCGTCAAAGTGTTTGACAAGCAAAACCTGCATCTTCTAAACAGTTAGAGGGAAGTCTGTGGTGCCATCTGGTCAGAGTGTACTTGCAGAAAAAATAATGTGACCCAAGCATTTAGCCTTGAATGTTGGTGGGGGTCAAACTTGTGTACAATTTTTAAATGATAAAGTTTTGGCTTACACCATTGCATATTTTATTGTACAAGTGCAGTGAAATTAAATGTATGCTTAATTAGTTGTATTATTTTGTTTATTTTTTCATGTATCTATTTGTTTTGAACATGTTCTAATATAGCAAGTAAGTATTTAGCAACAATAAGTCTAATTCACAATAGTATGGTGGCCAACAGGTTCAGTAAACGATGAAACAAACCAAAACAAATATGTGATGCAAACCCAAAGTGTGCATGCACAAAACACAATTGCAAAAGAAAAATGCTGCAAACCAAATAAGGAATTAGCTGCTAACAGTTGAAAACATGCTGCAAGCACTGAAATGAGCTGCAAACACACATATGATTCAAACTGACAAGCACACACAAGCACAAAAAAAAAAGCAAGAAGTTTTTGCAGCTCATTTCCATGTGTACTGCTTGTTTCACCTGTCGGCCACTGTACAATAGTCTCATAGTTCCCTGGTCCCAGCTACATTAAAATAGGGATGTAGAGAAACAAAACACTTTTTTATGCTTTTGGGGATGCGAAGGTTGCCAAAAAAGAGCATGGACTGTATGTATGTTTTAATGTTGAAATTTGTGACTGGCCTCTTACTTTATCAAGCTTTAAATACATATGCAGATATCCGTGTCTTCAGTCAGAGAGCAGGAGCAGAGAATTAACTTCAAAATTACTCTGGTGCTCTGCAGCCATCATTTATGAGAATTTCAAAGCGGTTACCAGTACACTCTGAAACTGGAAGGTATTTGTAACATCTTAATCTATATTTTTTTAAATAGGTACCTTGAAGGAATGTGTACCTCAATCACACACAGCAGTAGCGTTTCAATGTGTGTTTCTGTCAGAGTTACATTCAGTAAATCATCAACAAATCTGGG